GACATTTTTTTAACAAGAAATTAATGGGAAATTGAGCTTGTTAACAAGCTAATGGACCTGAATAAAACACTGCCATGGTGTAATATGGTTACCAATGACAAGTAGGTAGGAGTCAGTGGCTCATGATTGGAGCAATTCGAAACTAATAGACTACCTAAGATTTTAAAAGCATCTGTCTAAGGCCCTCTTGTGGTGCAATGGTAGTGTCCCTACTCCTGGACTTGGATGCACAGGCTCAAGTCCCAGCTGCTCCAGAGGTGTGTAATAACATCTCTGAACAAGTCAAGTAGGAAACAATAGAATCTGTCTGGATGTGTCCATTGACCATCCTCCTCCAGAACCTTCAAGTACAGAGGTAGGTTTAATAGGATACCAGCAGCTCCTCACAAATCTGCTTTCCACTAGGATTTACTGGATAACTGGGGGTGGTAAACCTTTAAGAAGCTTCCAGCCTTCCATTGTCCAACAGTAGCAACAGAATTCATGACTTGGTGACAGCAAACTACACTTTTGAACCAAAAACTGAATTGAAGGGTAAAGGTTTAAAGTGCAGTATTGCTGTATATAGACGCTTTTGGGAATCTGCTCATGTATCAGAATTTGAGATATTGAGAATTTGAGAGTTCCAGAGAGTAAGAGACCACTGGGCTCCTTGTATTGTTCCAACACTGGGATATTTCAAACTAAATGCTGCTGTCCTGTAATCTCCCCATAGCATTACTTCAATCAGTTATTTATTAATTCATCCAATTAATTACTTCAGGTGCTGTGTGTGACAAGGCAATCTGTTTGTGAAAAAATATTCTCTTAACCTTTGTCTCCACTCCTTTTTCAATTTCAAATTGAAGGTCGCTCATCACTGAATTAAAAGAAATGGCCTAATGAAAGTTGGCCTGAAACACCAACTCTACCTCTCTCCACACATGCTGCCATTCAAACGCTATTTGCTTTTTTTATTACAGATTTTCAGTCTCTGTATCATTTTGCTTTTATAAAAGAAATGATCCCTATTCTGGCAAAACCTATCGGAATTATTTAATATTCTCTTAAATCACTTCTTAATCTTCTGTTCTTCCATTGAACAGTTCTTGCCTTGTCCAAGCCCAAAGCATTCAGGGAACAAAAGTGGACTCCAGCTAAGATAGGAAATAGCAGGAGGAGTTAGCCATTTGGCCTCTCAAGCTGGCTCCACCATTTTAGATCTTGGCTAATCTTCTACCTCAGCACCATTTTCCTGTTTTGTCCCCCATATCCCTTGATATCAGTAATCACTTGATACCTATTGACCTTTGTCTTGAATGTACTCAATGACAAGCCTCCACAGCCCCCTGGGAAAGAGAATCCACAAGATTTACTGCCCTTTGAATAAAGAAATTCCTCCTGATCTCAATCTTAAATGGCCTACCACTTATTCTGAGATTGTTTCGCCAAGGTCTAGACTGTCCTACCCATGCCAGGAGAATCATCCTTCCTGGCATCTACCCTGATGAGCTCTGAAAGAGCTTTGTACATTTCAATGAGATCACCTCTCATTCTTCTTAACTCTAGAGAGTACCAGCCTAGTCTCCTCAATCTGTCCTCATAGGACAAGCCTGAAATCCAGGTCAGACAGTTTGAGTTTTTCTCAAATCTGAAGAGTATCTGTTTCCCCTAATTCTCTGGTTCCTCCACAACTTTCTATCCACGTATGTTTTCCTCCACAACTTTCTATCTGCATTTGTATCCTCTTCTCGACCGTTGAAATTTTATGACAGATCTCTTCCAGACATTGAATGTTTTCTGAAAATCCATTCACTCAATGATGTGTCAACTTTGCCTTCTGAAGAAGAGTCATACCAGACTCAATGTCAACTTTGTTTCTCTCTTCACAGATGCTGCCAAACCTGCTGAGTTTCTTCAGCATTCTCTGTGTTTGTTTCAATGTTTGGCTTGATCGATAATCACTTCAAAATGGGGTCAGTAGATTTTCCATGCCATAAATACTAACAAACTGCACATTCCCCAACTCAGCAGAGGGATGAAGCATCTGCCTCCTATAGCAATGCTCCCCTTTAAATATGCCAGTCAGGATCCTTTGCCTGTCAGAAGGAACTGATTTCCATATGAGGATAGAACTGGTGAATGTTCATGTAGCAGTCTCCAACCACCCTCATGGTGAGACAAGTTGGGAGGCCCAAGGAAGTTTTAAATTATTTTTCTAGGACCAGAGCAAGAGTCGGGCAGAAAAACAATTATACTTCTTTCAGAGCAGCTGCTTGTTCCTTGAGGCATATCCCTTGCAGAATCTGCTCCCAACGTTTTCCAGTTGCAGCGATAACTGAAGCACTTCTCTGCCCAACTTGACTTCTTCCAGACCCCACTAGAGGTACTTATCACTGCTAATCAGGTTAGCTATTGCCCTGAGCAACACAGCTGCTCTGGTAGACAGTGATTTAAAGCAAATATGTTGCTCATGTTAGGAGATGATTATTGTCACTAAAGGGAATTCATCTCCCTCAAAGTCAACTTGCCAGGTGACCAATTAAAGAGCACAAGCTTTAATTTTTTTTTGAGAGGTATTGTGTGTAGGTGGAGTACTGATCCAAACTTCCAACAAATTTTGGGCACATCAACAACATTGAGCTAGCGAATTTCAGGTTGACATTTGCATTGATGGTGCAACTGCTGCCAAACAGCAAACAGACACCTTCAGGATGCCTGAAATATTGGACTCCTTGCCAACTTTAAGGGTTCTTAAAGGCACCTGTGGGGTCCTGAGGTCTAATGGGCAGGGCTTGTGTGCACATACTGTCCAAGCTGTCTTCATGTCACCCCTCCCAAAAAAGTAGGAAATATTTTGAAAGGTTTGTTTCTGTGAAGCCCAGAGGAGCAAGAATGTTATATCATGTGTGTATGTATGTCTGAGTTTTACACTTTCCATGCCTCTATTGCCCTCACCAACTGCAATTTGATAACCAGGTAATCTGTTTTGGTTGAGGGATAAATATCAGCCCAAAATTAGCAGAACCCATGGTTCTATACTACCCTTCCACATGATACCTCTTTAAAAGACACAATTAAAGTTGGTACTATTTAACTGTTCCCCTGGCAGTTGATTTTGAGATAGATGAATCACTAGATCTTCCTGAAGGATGCTGGTAAATCACCAGCAATGGCATGTTGTAAGGAGAGAACTGAATATGGAACTGGGAAGAGTGAACTCTTTAAAAATGAAACTTGAACAATGAAGGTGAGAAGGAGGTGACATAACGAGACATGATACAAGTGTCATGCATGAAAAGGTAGGTTTCTTCCTAATTATGTGACATAAATGTACAAGGAGAAAGCTAGACATTTAATGAATGTGAAATGAAACAAAGTCAGAAGTCACATGACACCAAGTTATAGTCCAACAGGTTTATTTGAAATCACAGGCTTGTGATTTCAAATAAACCTGTTGGACTATAGCCTGGCGTTGTGTGACTTCTGACTTTATCCACCCCAGTCCAACACCAGCAGCTCCACATCAAGAAATAAAACAGGCTGCTGTATGCATACTGCCAGGGGCACTGGTGGGGTCTGATACGTTGGGCTTGATAACCTGACTGTCAGGAGCTATAAATGATAACCTCTGACCTTAATGCGGATTACATATGGCCTGGAAATCTAATGCTACATTGAAAATGGCCAGGGTTCCCACTGTATCTGTTGGTTTCAATGGTTGAAGCAGCCTTCCATCTATCATTCTGAAACGTCCCATTTATTCGGATTGCTCAGATTTTCTGCATCTGATCTGGTTTTCTGGTTCAGGTGACACATCAAATCTCAGGTGACACCTCAGTGTGGTACTTGGCACTGTTCAATTATTTATGAGCCTGACTGATTTTATTGTTACGTGTACCAAAATACAATGAAAAGCTTTGTTTACGAGCGGTACAGGCAGATTACAGCAAGCAAAGGATGTACAGATCAAAAAGACTTTACAGGAATACGGGTTACATTGCCAGTTACATTATTTGAGGCTAAAGTCCATTCAACAGTCTGATAACGGCCGGGAAGAAGCTGTTCCCGAACCTGCTTGTGCTCAGGCTTCTGTAGCTTCTGCCTGACATAAGAGGTTGTAGGAGGTCATTACCAGGGTGCGATGGGTCTTTGATGTTGGCCGTCTTTCTGCAGCAACGGGCTGTGTAAATGGAGTCCATGGATGGGAGATTGGCTTCCGTGATGACCTGGGCTGTGCACACCACCTTCTGTAGTTTCTTACAGTCCTGGGCAAAGCAGTTGTCATACATGGCCATTATGCACCCAGACAGTATGCTTTCAATGGTGCATATGTTTCAAGAGCAAATTGGGGAAACAAGAGTAAAGTTGATTGGAGCAAAGTGATCTCCATCTTGCAGAAGCTATGAGGCTGTGATGCCACAGAGGTGTACTTACAATATGACATGTTTACATAAATTATAAATGTGGTCTTTGGAATTGATAATGGAAATAATTAGCTCAGAAGTGTGGATAAAGCAAAACAATGCAAAGTAAGGCTTTAGATAGAAGATATAAGTGGCCAGAAGATTTTAATGCATTCACAGGATACAACACAATCCGTTTTCCAGCCAAAGTTTGCAACAGCCAAAAAAGGTATCTTCAGAAATCCTGCTGGAGTTTACATAATTAAAACTAACGAGATTGCAACTAAAACTACCATAACCAGTGAGCTTTACATCACATTAACCAGAATATCCTGTTTATTAGGATGTTGCTTGATGGGATTTGTGCTCATTGAGAGATTGGGCTCGTAAGCTTCCACAATTATGTAGAGCCAGCATTGCTAATGCTGGAGTCACCTGGTCTCCCACACAGTTGGGGCAAGGGTGGCAGATTGGGGATCTAAATACAAACAACTGTTTGGGGTCATTCAGCTGATTTTTCTGTCAGATTGTCAACTCTGAACTCAAACTCTCTCTCTCTCTCTCTCTCTGCGCCACTGCTCAACTCAATTCCAGTCAATAATCCATGTTTTGTAGATTAGCCTGAGACCAATTGAAGCTGTGATTGAGGACATGCAAAAGAAGACACAAGAGCTGGCACAGGCGACGAGTGTAAACCCGCCCAACATGAAGCTGTTACAGATGGTGCTGCAGGGCTCTGTGGGCACCACTGTCAATCAGGTGTGTGCATCGATCAGGGTGGGGCTGATGGGAATATAAGAAATCCCTTATTATAATCCATATCATCTTACAATCTTTATGTATAGGTACCTACAGTCACGTTTCCTGTAATGATGAGTTTGTGGGAAAGTGGGACTAAGGTATTCTTTAAGATGGAATGTAGTTTGGGTCCACTGTACCCCTACTCTGCTACCAAGTTGTGTTTCTATTTACATTACTACTTGTGGCATGGCTCAGCATTTTGCAGCTGTCTGATGTGCACATTCTAGTTTACTTATAAACTGCAAATTGAAGGTGCATTAAGGGGACTGAGCCAGACTACAACAAGCTAAGCAGCCCAAGGAAAAGACGGTGTGGTTCCCTGGATGGACCAAGGTATAACACACAGCAGGTACTAAATGCTAATGTGCTGTTGGCTTTTTTGCAGGGTCCCATGGAAGTGGCTCAAGTATTTTTGTCTGAAATTCCTGACGATCCAAAACTTTTCAGACACCACAACAAACTCCGAATCTGTTTCAAGGACTTTCTGAAACGGTAAGAATTTGTTTCTAGTTTAACAGGACCAAAACTATGCTTTGCTTTTTGTAGAATATGACTCAGATGTTCCTGGAACACTGCTAGCTTATCATAGAGTTTGGGTAACTCTTCTTTATATTCATTCATGGGATGTGGGCATCACTGGCTGTGTCAGCATTTATTGCCCATCCCTAATTTCCTTACAGAAGATGATGGTGAGCTGCCTTCTTGAACATTGTAGTCTGTGTAGTATAGGAGCTTTCACTCTGCTGTTGGAGAAGGAGTTCCAGGATTTTAACTGAGTGATAGTGAAGGAATTGACAGTATAGTTCCAGATCACGAGGGAGTGGCTTGGAGAGGAACTCGGAGGTGGTGATATTCCCATGCAACTGCTGCACATTATCCTTCAAGATGGTAGAGGTCGCAGATTTAGAAGGTGCTGTACTTATCAAGTACCTTACTCGTTAATTCCAAACCTGATCTCTAGGCTTTCCATTGCTTTCAGTTTTCTCAGCCTCCCTCTCCCACAGTTATTCACTTTCCATTCACTGATGTAGCGTCTTTCATAGTTAGCCTTGGTCTGGTTGGCAGTGCCCTCACATTTGGGTCAGAGGATTGTAGGTTCAAGGGCCATTGTAGATCCTTGATCATGTAAACCAGGCTGAGGGGGTGCTGCACCTTTGGAGATGACATGGGATTAGAGTAGATAGGAGCTTGATGACCGAAATGGACATGATAGGCCAAAGTAGCCTCTTTCTGTGCTGTACAGCTCCACGTCTATGTTAAACCAACAACAAAAACTTACATTATATAGTACCTTCATGATAATAAATTCCACCTCAAATTATTTCTCAGTTGCCACATCCAGAGACATGACAACAAGTGACTTGGTCAAAATGTTTGGTCAACAAGGTAGGCTTTAAATCTTAAAAGTGAAAAGTAGAGAAGTTTCAGAGTGGGAATCCATAGCTTAGGCACTAGGTGCTGAAAGCATGAGTGGCAGTGGCAGTGGCTGGGATGACAATTGGGATGGGCATGCCAAACAGCATATGGAGCATGCAATAGAGAAGGATAAACAATCTCAAAACCCATGGATCATAACGAAGCTCTGAAGTCCTGCCGCATCCAGGCAGAGAATCAGAATTGTCACAGCCTAGAAGGGGTCCATTCAGCCCATGATACGTGTACTGTTTAATACAATTTATTGCCATAACTGGTGGTAGACAACTGAGCAGGAAGTGGAGTTTCCACAAACATTCCCATTAACAATGGGGGAGCCCAGTACATCAGTGTCAATGATAAGGTGGAAGCATTTGTAACAATCTTCAGCTCCTCCGCTAAGTCCCCAGCATCACAGATGCCAGGCTTCAACCAGTTTGATTCACTCCATGTGATGTTAAGAAAAGGCCAAAGGCACTGCATTCTGCAAAAATATGGCCCTGACAACATTCTAGAAATGGTACTGATGACTTATGCTCCAGAACTAGCTGCAACCCATAGCCAAGCTATTCCGGTACAGCTACAACACTGGCATCTACCCAACAATGTGAAAGATTACTCAGGTGTGTCCTGTGTACAAAAAGCAGGATAAATTCAACCCAGCCAACTACCACACTATCAGTCCAGTCTCAATATTCAGCAAAATAATAGAATGGGTCATTGACATTGCACTTACTTATTGATAGTTTGAGTTCTGCCAGGGCTACTTGGATTCTGACCCCTTTGTAGCCTTGGTTGAAACAAAGGCAACAGACTCCAGAGGTCAGATAAAAGTGACTGCCTTTGACATCAGGCCAGCATTCGACTAGGTATGGCATCAAGGAGCTGTAGAAAAACTGGAATCAGTGGGAATTGGGGGAGAAAAATCTCTCCCTGTTGGAGTCACACATAGTGCAAATGAAGATGTTTGCAGTTGTTGGAGGTCAGTCATCACAGCCCTGAAGTTCCTCGGCATTGTGCCCTAGGCCCAACCATCTTCAGCTGCTTTATCAATTATCTTCCCTCCATCAAAATGTCAGAAGTGGGATATTCACCGATGATTGTACAGTGTTCTGCACTATTTGTGACTCTTCAGGTACTGAAGCAATTCATGTCCAAATAGAGCAAGACCTGGACAATATCTAGACTTGGGCTGAAAAGTGGCAAATAACATTCATGCCATACGAATGCTGGGCAATGACCATCTCTGATAAAAGAGAATCTAACAATTCAAGGAAATTACCATCACTGAAGCCTCCACTGCCAACACTGTGACCAGAAACTGAACTGGATCAATCATGTAAATATTGTGGCTACTAGAGAAGATCAGAGGCTAGAAATTTTGTGGCATGTGTTTATGGACCAGACCAAACCCCATCAAAATATATTAAGAACTTTTTCTAATTTTAGAGGTAAGTGTAAGACGTTGATTCCTGGATGCAATTCGTTTGGTCAAACTACCAGGCTTGAAACAAAACACAGTTTATTCATACACTATAATTAAAATACAGACAAAATAGAAATAAAAGAATTGGCTTAACTGTAACTCCATTGAAATGCTTAACAAAATATTATATACATTAGCTACTACTAATTAACTATTCCAATATAGTAAGATCCCATAAACACACCCTTGGCAAAGGCAAATTCAGTAAAATAGATGGTCTCACATGCAATTCTAGCAGCAGGAAGAGCACCCTAGCTTTTAGCTCTAACAGAGAGAGGAATAAGAGCTTCCACATCCAGCTTTAAGAGCCCAGCAACTGCTACTGAAATCTAAAACTTAAAAAAATCTGGGTCTGTGGGAGCTTGACCCCACCCATTCAGGCTGCTTTTATTGTTCCAACTTTAAAAACAAGCCCCAAGGCCTCACAAGCTGTTTACTTTGTTGCCTTTGGAGCAGACTGCTTGATACCTCTGTCCCAAACTTTCTTCAAAACAAACAGAACAATATGCACCTCTTAAAATCATAATATCATCACAAATGTAACTTACCTCTTGTCTCCTAGCCACTGTCTATGAGGCACAAGTCAGGAGTGTGAAGTAGTACTGTCCACTTACCTAGACAAGTACAGCTCCACCAGCACTCAAAAAGCTCAACACGCTTATGAAAGGGAGGTTAAAGGTCAAATCCCTCTGATAATTAAACCGAAACACCAACCCCAATCTGCTATGGTGGGAGTAGAGGTTCCCTTCTGATAATTAAACACAAAACACCCAGAAAAGCTTGCCTTTGCCCCTCATAATCTGTTAAAAGATTTAAATGCTAGGAATCCCTGATACTCACTTTATAAGTAACAATTTATTTATTTAACCCTAACAGTGAATAAATTAACAGAATTACAAACAAATCAAACAATTCCCCCAACTACTAACTATTCCCTAACTGAACTAAATTCTACTGGCATGCTGTTCCAATAAACACAGGTCCCACTTATATAAATCCAAGCAATAAGAAATCAATAAATTAAAACTTAGTCTCTCAAAGTTCACAAAGAATGTGTCTTCCAGAATGCTTTTCCTTCTCCACTGTCTCCAGCCTTTCTTCTGCTGATCCTGCTGTCAGGAATGTTTTTTTTCTGTAATTTCTTCTGTGAGGACTCTTAGCTAGAAGTGCTGTGGTACCTTTTATGGTGCTTTTTTAGAGATGTTAGTCATTTCTTGTGAGAGCTAGGTATTTATTCCTCAGATAGCGGTTTTGCTCTCGCCCCTTCAGATGGCAGTTGCCTCTGCCATTTTTTCCAAATGCCCTCTTTTTTTATACCCTTGATGACCCGTCCATTTTTTACACTAGGATTGGACCCCGGTTGCCAACACCATCAGATTTAAATTCAATTGGCTTTCAATCGCTCAGTGCTTGGTTTAAATTAATTGATTCAAGCTAGTTGTCAAACATCAAAACAAGCCTAATGTTTCTAATCACACAGCCAATGGATACATGTCTCCATTTTTAGAACTGGCTGTAATCTGCAGCTGCTTACAGACCCATTTTCTGTATAAATCTCTTAAGCTTAGAAAAGCAATTTATCTCTTAAAGGGAGCATGTACTGTTCTCATTTATCATTCTTTTACAAATTCTAGCTTCCTGCCTTCCAATTCATGATTACTCTACACAACTTCGTAACAACGCCATCTAAGACACAGCAGCCACTCAATTGGTACCATATCCACCACCTTTAACATCCACTGCCTTAATCACTGATGCACAATAATGGCACTGTGTAACATCTACAAGGGAAACTAGTTTTGTACTGGTAATGTCAATGGGCCAGCAATCTACCAATAGTCTAACTAGCAACAAATGTTCTGTGTTTCAATCCTACATGGCAGACAGTGAAATTTGAATTCAATAAAAGGATAGCCTAATGGTCACTACTCTCAATTATTATAAAATCCTATCGAACTCACTAGTGTCCTTTAGGGAAGGAAATCTGCCATCCTTGTCTGGTCTGACCTACATGTGACTCGAGACCCACAGCAATGTGGTTAACTCTTACTGCTGTATGGGCAATTAGGGATGGGCAATAAATGCTGGCTCCACTAGTGATGCCTATATCCATGGATGAATGAAAAAAACACAATGTACCGTCTCAGATGGGCCAACACGATTCTATTTGAAAGTCAGCACAGGAGCTTTCCTTGTATCCCTCAAACAACCTCAGAGGAACCACATATTATCTGGATATTTCCTTCATCATCATGTACAAATTAGCAACTGCATTTCCCTACAGAGAACATTGATTTCAAAAGATTGATGAGCATGTTGGCAAGAACAGGGAATCTTACTGTGAGGAGAAACAGGTTAAGTTGGAGTTGTTTTATTTACAGCTCAGGAGGCTGATGGGAGATTTAATAGAGATGTATGATACAGTGAGCTATTTCCCTTCAGTGAAATCAGTAATTAGGGACATAGATTTAAAATAATTTGCATTGGCAGCAGGATTAGAGGAGACCTGAGGAGTAATTAGTTTCACACAAAGTGCAGTGGAGGTCTGGAATTCACTGTTTCAAATGCTGGTAGGGGCAGACCCCCTCATTGTGTGAAAATAATGAAGTGACGAAACCTGTAGGACTGTATTGAGTAAGAATTTGAAAGTGGGATTAGGAAATAGGATTTAGGAGTTGTAGTAAGCCATTCAAGTCGTTCAACTATTTGATAAGATAGTAGCTGATCTGGTTGTAGTCTCAATTCTAACTTCCTTTCTCCATCTCCCCCTCCCCTCCCCTTACCCTCGACTACCTTGTTGATTGAAAATTGAACTGAGCTTTGAATAAATTCAATGTCCCCGCCTCCACAAAGGAAGAAAACAACGCAAACTAACAAGTCTTTGAGCGTCAAAAATTCTCTGAATCTCCGTTCTAAAAGGGAAACTTCTAAATCTTAACCTGAGTCCCTCATTCGAGTCTCCCCCACAAGAAGAAGCATTCAATTGGATGCAAAAACAGAAATTGCTGGAAAAGCACAGCTGGTCTGGCAGTATCTGTGGAGAGAAGTCAGAGTTAATGTTTCAGATCCAGTGACCCTTCCTCAGAACAGTAACCCTTCCTTAGACTGAATATCTCCCTATAATTTGTCTATGGCCATCTTTTATTCTATAAATTTTTCATGTTTCCATTAACAGTACTTTATAATTCATGAGTACTTTGGAACGTTCTAAAGTCACGAAAGATGATATAGAACTTCAGCTGCTGGGTTGTACTACTCAATGATGGGATCTGTTTGGTAATGCAGCAAATACTACACTTAGTCTTGCTGTCCCTTTGTTGTGCACAGTTAACCCACCCTCCCATTTTCTGATCCTGTCTGTGTCCCATCAAATTATCTCTCAGATCTGAAGGAGGTCATGAAAATGATCTGCAGTAAACTTTTCTCCCTCAACCACATGTACTGCACCCCTTGCCCTCTCTTCTCCAAACCTGTACCCCCACTCTCACAAAGGCTGTGTTGCTGACCTGCCAGGCGCTTCCAGGGTTATCGTTAAGTGTTGCTTTTCCAGCAACAGCAGTATTTTACTTTTTATCTGCATGCAAAAGGACAATCTATTAGACCCTCAACACACAGACTAACTAACTAATCATTCATCCCCTTTTCTGTTTGTAAGAAGGTGTTGTACACATCTTGACTGTAATGGTGTAGATGTCGGTGAGTAACCTCTCTCTCTTTGCTCTATTGTAGATGTGAAGACGCCTTGAAGAAAAACAAAAGCTTGATCACGTCCGAGCAGCTCGAGTATCAGCGGGAACTCGAGCGGAACTATGAAGCTCTTGAGCACAACCTGCAACCATTTATTAACCGCAAGATCCCACACCTTTACGTTATGACTCATTTATAATCACCCGAGGGGATGGGAAATATATTTTGGAAGCAGGCCAAGAACCCTATAACTGTACAGAGTGACACTCCTTGGAACGATATTACTAACTGTTTACTATTCATTTTGTGAATAGTTATCTCGTGTAAGAATAGAAAATGTATTTATATATCTGGTGGAATGTGTTAAAAGTTTCTTCACTTACACTTGACATGTGAGCCTTGCCACGACATTCTGCTAGAATATCTGGGAGGATTTATTTTTATTTCCTGAAATTCTTTGCTATTTGTCTGTCTCTCTGGGCTGACAGACTCTCCCGTTGCTTTGACGAATGGATGTTCAGCAAAAAAAAAGAGTTTACAAACTGAGTTGATGTGGTCTCATGAGTGACAATAAGCCAATTCTCTGTTTACATAACCTTTTGCAAGTAGAAGTCAGAGATGGGGTGATGCCATTGGCTTTGTGCTGAAAACACTTAAGTCTGTTCCCCCAAATGTCAAAATTGCTTGATAACAAATACATCTGCATCTGAGTCTGTCCAGTGTTGTTTCTCCCCCTGCATTTGAATCCAGCATGCAAGCTCCAAGACCTGCTGAGCTTTTCCAGCAATTTCTGTTTTTGTTTCTGATTTCCAACATCCGCAATTCTTTCGGTTTGTTAATGCAAGCTCCAAGATTGCCTTACAGGTTATCGTCTTATCTGAGTTTCACATCTCCTAAAGTACATGTTACCTACTCAGCTGGATGCAGATTACTGTGTTTGGTGTTCTGTCTTTACATGTTTCTCAGCTCATTTACGCCCGTACAACCAATGATGAAACCTTTAACATCAGACAATTGTCCCCGAACCTTCACACAAGCAGATGGAAGGCTAACATTGAATGAGAGAGAGAGAGAGAGGCTTAGCACATCAACATTAGAAGTAGGTCTTGACAAGATTTTTAAAAGGAATTGGGAGAAGGCATTTGGCAAGGGAATTCTACAAAACAGAGTGCAGCCAGTTTGGAGGTTCAAATCATTTTCAATAACACGTGAATAGAAACGAAATGGGACTTTAGACTGAGAAGAAGTCATAGTATAATATTTATGTTCAAACACATGGGTCATGAGCTGTGGATCAGTTTCCCTGTGGAGTTGGTGTAGAAAGGGAACCTTGGTCTTTCTCTCGCACATGCATGCAAGCGAAAAATACTCAATATAAACTTACCTTGCCAAAATTTATTTCTTACATTTCCTACAACACGTTTTAAAAGATAAACTGAGCTGGAGTGCGAGGAGAAATATTTGAGTAATTCATGACCATGTGCAACTGACATGCTGGGAATTTCTGTAGATTGCACATGCTCAGCTTGCTACAGCTGACCTCTGTGAGAGACACAGTTCAGAAGAAGGACTTGCAGGTCAAGCTGTTCTGAGAGGCTGAACTCTCAAATCGAACATATTCTCTGCAGCTGATTGTTTCTTCACACTTTCTCTTTCAGTTCTGCAGAAACCCCACTAGGCCGCAAGGAACTGATTGCTTTAACTTACTGAATGGACACATTGGTGTGTACCAGCACGTTGACAATTCAGAAGTCCCGTACATGATCACATGGTGTCTGGAGAGTATTATTAACCAATACAAACAGATCTGGGAAACTTTGAGTTTCCTGTTGAGTTCCTGTGTTCCCTGTTGAGTTAACAGCCTATAACCAATATCTCACTGAAACTGAAAGAACTCTGGTGGCTGGGGTGAATCATCCAGCTGTCGCTATCACCAGAGGGGCCTCCTCCTTCACCCACTACTCTCCAGGCCTTAACGAAAAGAAAACAAAGAAAAAAATGAAAGAAAAAGAGCCAAAGTAAAAAGAAGAAGAGAAAGAAAGCAAGCAGGAGTGGACCAGCCCTGGGCTCAACCCTGTTACTCTGCTGCCATTTTGATTCTTTTTGTTTGAGGAGCAGGCCATCTGAGTGAACAGGGCAACTGGTTGTTTCTTTGACTAATGAGTGAAGTGAAGACATTCTTCCTCAGATCAGTTTTATCCCTTCATCAGATATTCCTTAGTTCCCAACTCACCAACCTGGGGAAGCATCCTATTGTATTCACTCTGTCACCCTCCCTACTATAAATTATGGCAAACATGACCTTTCTTTATTCATTGGATATGGGCATTGCTGGCTTGGCAGCATTTATTGCCCATCCCTAATCACCCAGAGGGCAGTCAAGAGTCAAACACTTTGTTGTGGATCTGGAGTCACATGTAGGCCAGGCTACCTAAGGATGGTAGTTTTGTTCCCTAAAGGGCATTAGTGAACCTGATGGGTTTTTCCCCAACAATTGGCAATGGATTCATGATCAGCACAAGAATCTTAATTCCAGATTTTTATTAATTCAAATTCCACCATCTGCCATGGCAGGACTTGAACCTGGTCTGCCAGAACATTACCTGGGTTGCTGGATTAAAGTCCAGCAATAATACCACTAGGCCATCACCTACCTCTGAGACAGGAGAATAGAATACAGAGTCTGGGGAACTCAGAGAGATTGTGAGAACTACATGCAGAGACAGTGAAAGACCATGGAAAACTGCACAGAGAGAGTGAGAGACTGAAGAACCATGTCTCTGGGATATTCATTGGAAAGGACCATCAGATGCAAAACATTGTCTAAACTTTCAATCTCTGTAACAGCTCAGTTTTACATAATACATAAATTACAGCAAAGCTCCAGATAACTGCAAACACCCAGTTATTATTCAGTCTTTGTCCGTTAACTCTGAGGCTCTCCTGTTTCCCATTCACTGGCTGCCTTTTTTGTTCAATTCTGAAATTTGAAATAACTCTGAACCAATTTTCAGCTAAAATCTAGCTCACCGTGGTCACTGGGGTAGATAATTCTGCAGTCACTATGTATCATTATCCGATTAAAAGCTGTAAAACCAATAAAACTTTTATTTCTATGACTATAATTCAAGAAATGGTAACAGGCCCTAATTATTAACAAAGATTATTTTGCCTCATTCATATGAATCAATCTACATGTTAAAATTACAAGTGTAAAAGTGAAGCATGCATTGAGCCCATCCATACTGTGTGACAGTTCTCTGGCCTGTGAAAAAATCCAGGTGAGGTGCTCCCATGCCTTGCAATGTTTATTGGTGTAATTCTGCCCCCTTTTGGAGAAGATGAGCAACAACAAACATGAAAAGTGATATCCACAATCCAAGCTGCCCCAGGGCTCTACTGCTTTTCATTGCTGTTGAAATACCCAGGTTCCCTTCATTGAAACAATCAAGTCTTTCAATGAAATTTGCTTGGTACTTCTTTGCATCGGTTTCTGTGCCTGGATTGCACTGGCCTTAGTGTGGCGGAAGTAAGTTCAATAGTAACTTTAAAAAATGATTTGGATAGATGCATGAAAAAGGGAAAAAAGTTGTGGGGCATTGGGGAAATAGGAGACTGATAGCTATTTCAAAAAGCTGGAAGGCAAAATGGGCTGGATGGCGTTCATGTGTTGTGATTCTGATTAAAGATTGAGGTTGAAAGAGAAGGAAAAGTTAAAGATGAAATAAATATTTTCTATAGAAATACTGGGAGAGTGAGATGAAAATAATGTGGAGGAAGATTCACTTTGTATTTAACTCAGTGCTGTTCCTGCCTTGGGACTGTTTGATGGGAACAGTGTCGAGGGAGCTTTACTCTGTGTTCAACCCCATGCTGTACATGTCCTAAGAATGTTTCAGTAAGGAGGGATTATTGCTTTCAGTTTTTGGAGGTGACAGTGGGGTTCATTCTGTCTCTGAATATCACAGCCTGTAAGTGTGATTCATAGAGTTTATTTCCCAGTCTTTGATTTGTACATGACAGTTAGATTGCGTCACATATAGATAGGGTGATGAAAAAGACATTTAGTATGCTTGCCTTCATTGCTCAGTCCTTTGAGTATAGGAGTTGGAAAGATAAGGTGAATAGCTTAGTGCTTAGCTCACTTAGTGCTCGGGGCTCGGATGGGGCAGAGTTTGTAAGGAGCATCCAGGAGGGCTTCTTGAAACAAAATGTAGATAGTCCAACTAGGAAAGAGGCCGTACTGGACCTAGTATTGGGGCGTCTCAGTAGGGTAGCAGCTCGGGAACAGTGATCACAATTCAGTAAGCTTTAAGTTACTGATGGATAATGATAGGTGTAGTTGTCAGGTGAAGGTGCTAAATTGGGGGGAGGCTAATTACAACAATATTAGGCAGGAACTGAAGAATGTAGATTGGAGGCAGATGTTTGAGGGCAAATCAACATATTGTATGTGGGAGGCTTTCAAATGTAAGTTGCTGGGAACTCAGGACCGGCAAGTTCCTTTAAGGATGAAGGATAAGTATGGCAAGTTTAGGGAACCTTGGATAACGAGAGATATTGTGAGACTAATCAAAAAGAAAAAAGAAGCATTTATCAAGGCTGGGAACATACGATGCAAGGGTGGAATACAAGAAAAGTCGAAAGAAACTTAAGCAAGGAGTCAGGAAGGCTAAAAGGAGTCATGAAAAGTCATTGGCTAACAGGATTAAGGAAACTCCTAAGGCTTTTTATACATATATAAAGAGTAGGAGGGTAGCCAGGCAGAGCGTTGGCCCACTCAATGACAGGGAAGGGAATTTATGTGCGGAGCCAGAGGAACTAGGCGAGGTATTAAATGAGTACTTTGCATCAGTATTCACCATAGAGAAGGACTTGGTGGATGATAAGTCTTGGGGAAGGATGTGTATATAGTTTGGGTCATGTTGAGATCAAAAGGGAGGAGGTGTTGGGGGTCTTGAAAAAACATTAAGGTAGACAAGTCCCCAGGGCCTGATGGGATATACCCCAGAATACTGAGAGAAGCAAGGGAAGAAATAGTTGGGGTTTTGAGGGAAATCTTTGTATCCTCACTGGCTAAAGGGGAGGTCCCATAGGATTGGAGAATAGCCAATGTTGTTCCTTTGTTTAAGAAGGGTGGCAAGGATAATCCAGCTAATTACAGGCCAGTAAGCCTTACATCAGTGGTATGGAAACCATTGCAGAGGATTCTTCAAGACAGGATTTACTCCCACCTGGAAACCAATGGGCGTATTAGCAAGGGGCAACATGGTTTTGTGAAGGGGAGGTCGGGTCTCACTAACTTGGTTGAGTTTTTTGAGGAAGTGATGAAGATGATCAATGAGGGTAGGGCAGTGGATGTCGTCTACATGGACTTCAGTAAGGCCTTTGACAAGGTCCTTCATGGCAGGCCGATACAGAAGGTAAAGTCGCACAAGGTCAGAGGTGAGCTTGCAAGATGGATAAAAAACTGGCTCAGTCATAGAAGACAGAGGGTAGCTGTGGAAGGGTGTGTTTCTGAATGGAGGGCTGTGACTAGTGGCGTTCCTCAGGGATCAGTGTTGGGACCTTTGCTGTTTGTAATATATATAAATGATTTGGAGGAGAATGTAACTGGTCTGATTAGTATGTTTGCGGATGACACAAAGGTTGGTGGAATTGTGGATAGAGATGAAGGCTGTCAAAGGATACAGCAGGATATAGATCGGTTGATGACTTGGGCAGATGGAGTTTAATCTGGAAAAATGTGAGGTAATGCATTTTGGAAGGTCTAATCCAGGTGGAAAATATACTGTAAATGGCAGAACCCTTAAGTGTACTGATAGGCAGAAGGATCTGGGTGTACAGGTACACAGGTCACTGAAAGTGGCAATGCAGGTCGAGAATGTAGTCAACAAGACATGCAACATGCTTGCCTTCATTGGCCGGGGCACTGAGTTTAAAAATTGGCAGGTAATGTTGCAACTTTATAGAACCTTAGTTAGGCTGCATTTGGACGTTTGTGTTCAATTCTGGTCATCACACTACCAGAAGGATATGATGGCTTTGGAGAGGGTACAGAAAAGATTTACCAGGATGTTGCCTGGTATGGAGGGCATTAGCTATTGTTCTCACTGGAACAACGGAGGTTGAGGGGGGACCTGATAGAGGTCTACAAGATTATGAAGGGCATGGACAGACTGGACAGACAGAAGCTTTTTCCCAGGGTGGAAGAGTAAGTTACCAGGAGCCATGGGTATAAGGTGTGAGGGGCAAGGTTTAAAG